CTGCTCGCTGCTTCTAATCTGTCCTTTCCTTCACGCGTGGGCTCTGTGTAGGAGGGTGCGGGGCCCGGCGTGCGGCGCTCGCGCCCCGAGTTTGATGAAGTGTAGCACGTTCCCCGGCTCTGGCTTTGGGGTGCCGCTGCTGCGTCTTGTCTTTCCTCGGAGTTTGGGAGCTGGGGGGAAGCTTGGTGAGCAATCAGGGTGTGCAATTAGCTTCACCTTGGCTAAATTCAATTTTATGTGAAGTACCCGGTGAGGGAAATGTCATTCCTGGGATTCTTAAAGGTAAGCCAGGCTTACGTGCCTCAAAGGATGGGGGGAAAAAGAAAATAGACTTTAATTTGTAAGTTACTTACAGTTTTTCACTATAAAGCACACCAAAAATTCCTTTTATAGCCGATGATAAACAGGAATTAACAAACCTTGCCTGTCTTGCTCACCACAGAGTAAAAACGGAGACATTTTTTTCTAAATCACAGCAAAGCCAAGGGTAGAAACTGACTTTGAGATGGTTTAGTTTCATTCGGAGAAAGGGTTGCTTGGGTTCAAGTTAAAACATGATGGGCCGTAGAAAAAAATTTATGCTGTTGCTTCCTACTAATTTTTAATATCCTAGGCTTTGATCCTGGCTCCTTCCACTAATCCTGATGTTTTTACATAGGAAAATGAAGTGTGTTTTTAAGATTCTGGTTGATTTTTGCTCCTTAAAAGGTAGTCTCCCGAGGTAATACAAAGTTCTGTCGCTTTGTGACGTGCAAAAGAAAATATTCACAATTACCCCTCTTCTTTCTCTGCAGTGCCGTTAATAGCAGTGAACTCCATTACAATCGTTCTCCTCCTGTTGTTTGGGTGAAGATACCCGGTGGAAATCTTTTGGACACCCAAAGAAGCGTGTTGCTAACCATCACTGCTCTGAGTTTTCTGGGATCCAGCACGGTTTAGCTCTCGATTTGACATTCAACTTAAAATAATAAAGACACTATTTCTATTTATCCTATTTCCTAATGTCCGCTTGCAGTTTCATTAAACAAGACAATGGGATCAATGCAACAACGCTGCAAATGTATTGGACTATGACAAGTTCTGTTGCTGCCCGTTAACGGCGTTGACCGTTAGAGTACGCGTCGTAACATATCGCGATGGTTGTCGATGGGTTTTTAAATGTCTTGTTACTCAGGGATGGATTTCCTTCGGTACGCTTCCCAATTTATTTTTAAATTAAGAAAAACAACAGTGTTTTTAATTTCAATTACTACCACAGTACTGTTTAAGAGGATATGAATTAGGCTCTACAAACACGTTGCGAATTACCGGAGTACAGTTGTGATACTGAGGGAGACAAAAACTAGCTGGGTGAAGTCCTGATTCAGTTCGCGTTGCAAGTCGAATGTTCCTGGTTAGGCTGAGAACAGGATTTTTGGTGTTTGGTAGTCTTTTAAAATCAATAATGTTTCATGCTGATGGTGAAGTGAGTTGAAAATAGGTGCAATTGCTATGCAAAATCTGAAGAAGCTGTACCTAAAGCTGGGCAACTCTGTGTTCATTTAGACTAGCGGGTGACACTAGCGATCAGCGTTTGTTCCTGTTCTGTCAAGGATTATTAGACTTTTTAAAACGTGTGTTAAACCTCCGTGCGGTTATTAGCGTGTTGGAAGGGGGGAGCCATTTGTATTCTGAGCTTCTTGGGCAATGTGGGAGGGGAATACTGTGCCCTTTTCCGATGCAATTCTTTGTTAAAACCCAGCAAATTCGCAGCCTCTCCTATTCCTGCCGCTGCTTCCCCCACCCTCCATCTTCCTTTGTTAAATTAACAGCTTCGAAACTGAAACTGTGGGTGTGATCTTGCAGTCCTGTCGCAGAGAATATGACTAATTGCTTTGGTACGGATCTCGTCTCAATTAAGACTGCTGGGTTAGGTCCAATGTTGTGTAGCAAGTTTGAATTGAAGAATTCTGATTCTCATGTACCTTTTTTAGAAAAGTTAGAAGTCTCATGTCTGTTCCTCTGCTAAAGTGTTTTAGCTTATTTTTAAAGTGGGGGAGGCCAAAGGAAACCTGGCAGTTTCATTATTTTAAAGCAGCTTAGTTTATCATCTCTTCTTCGACGTCTTCATGACTAAAGTGTACGCTGTTGTATACAAAGATAAATCTGTAAAATGTGTAAATGAATTTAATGATCTTCAGTTGCAGTGTTTTGCAGAGTAGAGTATATCCAGGAGGAGAGTTTTATGTTGTTTCCTTTTTCTAGTGAAAACTTGTAAATAAATTCTGAATTTCTAAGTTAAGCACTCTCTTTCATAACTTGCTCTATATCTGTGTACAGCGGGAGTATCTCAAAACTCAGCTTCATCCTGTTCCAGACACCAGAGTTACTGTTCTTACATGAAATACTTTTTTCTCATCCCTGTGGCGCTTATGAGTATCACCTCTCTGCTGTGAAGCCGTATTTTGGTTTATGTAGCAAACCTAATGAGCCATGGTAACATTGGCCTGAGGCAGAACAGGGTCATGCGAAGTCTTTAAATTCTGAAGTCGGTAGATGCATTATAAAGTATTCCTTATAATAATCTTCATGTAATTCAGAGGTGACGAGGGTACAGTCTAGATAAGTTATTTTCATGTATCTGTCTCCCGTGGAAACTGGACAGTATGTATGGGGAACAGATAAAACATGGAAGGTATGCAGGCCTTCCTGTATTTTTGTAAAATCTTTGTTAAAAAAGCGGTGGTAGATGTTTCCATTGCTGATGCATTGGAGTACTGAACGATTTGAAGCACAGCTTGAGTCTCATTTCCTTTTCGTATGTATTGACTGTTGAACCACTAGTTCTTACTAAAATAAAAGCCAGTATTAAAGATTATAAGCAGCAGCTTTAAAAACGGGTAAAAAGTGATTTCCCCCATTGTCCTGTCCTTTCAGAAAGGCTGAAGTTTCAATGCATGGCTCACGGCACGTGGGCAGATCATTTCAAAATCAATTAGGCATGTGCAGTAAAAAGGAGGAGCGGCTCTGTGCAGCAGGCATCCTGCATTTGAGGCTGAGGCGAAACCGGGACGTGTTTTACCTGGCAGATGCAAAATAGTGATTCAAAGTGGGGCAGCAGCTGAAGATTAGGTCTCCCAGGTGGTGATCGGGGATGAGGGCAAAAGGGTAGCCAGCAAACAGGCAGAAGAGAAGGAAGGAGCGTAGAGAGAAGCAGCAAGGAAGTAATTACACTGCCGCCGTCTCCTCGTGTGGCTTTGAGCAGTTCTGAAACATGTCTGCTGAGACTAAGTTTAAACAAGGTGAAGCACCTCAAACCTGGCAGGGGCTCGGGTTCTTCAACAACAGGGAACATGCAAAAAAGCTTCCGCCTGGCGAAGAGATCAACGCGCAAAGTAGCCTGTGATCCAGGAGTCACTTCAAACCGTGAAGAGCACGATCATTCATACCTGGCACAGAAATGACAGTAACCAGAACATTTTACAGATCAGGATGACGACGAAGGCTTTCCAGTGTAGAATAACTGGCTCATTTCTAGTAAGGATGTGTAAACAGAGTGCTTTCGCAGCAGTAGGTTACAGCGTGGTGGTACCAGTCGTGGTTGGCTGCGTGGTGAAAATGAAGCTGGTGGGACACTTCGGTCTTTAGTGCAAATGCAGACAGGAATAAGGGATCAATTCCGCATACCTGTACTATTAAAGGCTTTGTTTTGAAGGGCATGGGGACAGGCGAAGGGAAAAGTAAGAAGGTAATGGGTTTGTACGGGAGCGAAGGAATCTCAAACTCACTTTAATTATCTTGGACATCTCACCTTAGGTTGCAATGTTACGAATTTAAACTTGTACTATCTTATACACCTTGGCTTTTTTGATGTACTCTCACAACATAAACCCGTGAATGTGTATCACACTTAATTCATTCACCTGCCTTCCTTTCTTATGAAATCCTAACTGCAATAGCGCAAAACGCAGCTGCGTCTAACCACGCTTTCTGTATGCTGCAGGGGAGCCGGGGCGGGCTCCGCTGCCATCACAGGCAGAGAGCGGTCTCCACAGACTGGGGCCTGCTACTGCCACAGGCCAGGCGCAGCCCTTGCAGTCACACGTTTCCGACAGAGCGGCCGTAGGAAGCTGCTCTTCAACACGTCCACCAACGCCTCGCTGGGCGGCTTCAGCCGGGGAGCGCCCAGGGGCC